TTCGCCACCACGGCCCTAAATGAATTCTTCTGCCTCTTCTGTGAAATGTAAGGTTTTGTGTTTGATATTAATTTCTAGACAGAGGGCCCAAATTTAATTTAACTTCAATATGTCAATAGCAAAGTATTAATATATTAAAGATGCATGTTGGGTAATTGTGAGTGGAGAAGAAGGTGCTGTAGCTGAACATATGCTAATTGTATCCAACAGATTTGTATACTCTTTGACTCCATTTTCCTGTTTATAGTTTAATTTATAGTTTGATTCTCTTGCACTTCAGGATGTCTACACCGCCTCTAGCAGGGCCAGGATTGCCTTCTGGTCCATTTTCTGGGCCTCAGGGTCAGGCTGCACGAGAAGTGAACACAGCTTCGTTGTGTCGCATTGGTCAAGAGACTGTGCAGGACATTGTATTCCGCACTATGGAAATCTTCCAGCTGTTAAGAAATATGCAAGTAAGGAATCACCTGTCCGAATAATGCTATCCTATTCTCATCTCTTGTAGAAAACCTGAACTAAATTTTTAAAAAGTGCACAGTAAGAAACATTTAAGCTAAAGACATCTTTGGAATTCAGAAAATGAAGTTTTTGCCTCCTACATATTTTCATTTAAAAAAAAAAACCTGCTTTAACGATTTATCTGCCTTTCTCCCTAGATAATTTACTTTTAAAATTGGAGAATCTTAGCTTCACTGAGAATATGGTAAAGGAGGCAGATAATTCTTTTCTAATTAATCTGTCTTTTGGAGAGTATTCGTTTTGAGTTCAAGATTTTTTTTTTTAAGAATGTGCTGCTATAAAGAAAACAGACCAATTGTATTATTTTTTTCCCTTAATGTAAAATATAACCTTCTTCTGCTTATTTGCATGTACCTTGATGGCAGCTGGTAAATGTCACTCTTTATTATTCCATAGTTGATGGATTTTGTAGGATTTTCCCATATTCAGTTTTATTTCTTCTAGGAAATTCCTCCCCAGTTTTTTATACTTAAATTTTAAAATAATTCCCCTAACTTTTATTGTTTTATTTTGATTGCTTAGGATTATTTTTTTTTTAATATAATTCATATTTCCACTGAATCTGTAGAAAATGTCTATGTATTCAGCCAGTATTCTTCTGTTAGCAATCTAGAGTTTTTACATGGACTTTTAAAAACATAGTTTACAGTCCCTTTCGTCCTAAAAAAATATAATTTTCCAGTTGCAGAATAATACCCTTTATTCAAAATTTGAGGAAAAAATTATCAAAGAAAATGGTTTTGGCATGCCCCTTGAGTTTAGCCTGTTTATATATGTTCCGCTGATCTCAATCAAATTCTCTTAATGCAGAAATTATGAAGCTGAAGGCTGTGACCCCTTCCACTTTTCAGGACTTTGTGAGCAAACCTAAGGGGAATCACAAATTTGGGGATACTTTTGCATACAAAGTAGCATTGATGTCAGAACTTGCTCACAATATGGTAACAAGATCAGAATTTTCTTTAACTCTTGTTATAAGGCAGAAATATTGATCCAGAATGAATATGAAAATTGGCAGTGGTCATGTTAAAAATGGAATCCCAGACTTTAGGAAGGATGCAAAATTATGCAATCACTCATGTCCCATTAAAATGTGCTTTTAAATGTGATTGTTTTATTATTACACTGTTTCAGTAACAAAACTGTCTTGCTATGCTATTACATACTACCTTTGGCATTACAGCAAGCGGTCACGATCAACTCCCAAGGATCAATGGGACCACCCATAATTATTGTTATTTGTTTGTTTATTCAGTTTCTATAGCCGCCCATCTCAGTCAAGTGAGAGTACATAATTCTTAATTCTATTAACTAAAGTACTGTTTATTAAATTATTTTCATAAAATAACTTGAGTGTTAAGGAACACTGATGGCATCAGTGAACTGATGAGCTTGAGGACCCCTGTATTAGAGGCTTCTGGGTCCCATTTCTAGGAAACAGGAGCGGGAGCACGCTAATAATAGAAGTCCTACTTGCAGACTTACTATCAGCCTTATTTATTTATTTATTTATTTATTATTGTGCTGCCCATCTCCCCTACAAGGCGACTTTTCAGACCATTTTGGACACAGAGGGCTGGGTTAAGTAGGCTGATCCAGTAGGCTTCTACTTATGTTCTTATCCAAATATTCTGGAGCAGTTTCATGAGATGGCAGATTTCAGCTAGGGATGAATGAACACTGGCAAGCAATAATTCTTCGCCTTCAGTTAGAAGAGATGTCTACTTGTAATCTGCCTTTGGCAAATCAGACTTCTCTGATCTCTCATAATATTTGCAAACATGTTTTTAAAATGAGGGGGAAATGCTCTTCTCAGAGGTAGCTCTGACTTTATGAAATTATTTTCCAGAAGAAGCTCATCAGCATTCAAAAACATATTTTGTAGGCATGGCAGATAATTTTATGATGGTGTTTTAATCTTTCATTATTATTTTCTATTTTGTTATATGCTTCAGTGAAAGGAAGTATAGACATTGGATAACATTTATTCTAAATAAATCGAATGAAGCTCAGATAGCGTTGGAAACTAATCAAGTTTTTGCCAAAAACTGTTCATGCTTGTTGAAAAAAATGAGTTTTCTTTTGCCATTGTATATTCTCAAGGTGGCTGAAATTTGATTTCTTGCTGTTAAATATTTGAATATTCCAGCTTCCAAATGGTGTCACCTATCATACGGGCACATATCAAGACAGATTAGGAAAGCTGCAAGAACATCTGCGCCAACTGTCAATACTGTTTCGGAAACTGAGATTAGTGTACGATAAGTGCAATGAAAATTGTGCAGGACTTGAACCTATTCCAATAGAGGTAAGTAAAATGGGGAGGGGAGACGGGCACAAATATCTAGACCTGAAGAAGAGGGAAAGTGATTTGTTTCCAGATCTCATTTATTCTAAAATCCCAAAATTCTTATGTGAAACCTGGATTAAAATGGATACACCAAAATGCTAGTAATAACTACTGTAAAATCTTTACTTAATGGATCATTGGGGAAGGGGGGGGTTCATTAAATACAAATGTCTGTAAAGTTCAAGCTTATCTTGTTTACATCCATTTATATTGTTTGCATAATTACCTAACTGATGCAAATAGCACCATTAGCACTAAAACTTCAATTTAGTAGACAAACCCTCAATTTAATAGACATTTGTCTGTTAAATTGGATGAAGTCCAAATGAAATCTTTGTCCACTATATCTGAAGTCCACTCAGCTGAGGTCCATTAAACCAAGAGTTTAGAATAATTCTTTCTGCAGAAATACTCTCCTGCTTTACCTCATGGTTTCTCAATTGCACAACAAAGAGAGGGAAAATTATTATATTGCTCTTACTGTAAAACTACTGAGAGCTAATGTACTGCAGATCACTGAAGGATTTGCCAGTAGATCCAGATCAGCTTACATATGGTATCCATCATTTCCAGATGGTGAAACTTAATGTATTTTCTGCTTATGCCTTTTGAATATGGTTGAAAAAGTTATAGCGAGTTGCAAGTTGGTAAAAGGCAAAGTATATTTTTATTGCTTTGAGACATCTTAAGCTTTCTGAAATGTCCCAAGAACAGGTCATATAACATAAATGCTGTTAGAAAAAGGAACATTCCTGTAATTTCATATTTACCATAATTGACTTACTATGACATAGCTTACCATAACTCCAGATTCCACCAGACGTTCTCCATAAATCTTAATATAGGATTTCCCCCTCCACATTTATAGCAGCTCATTCCTTACGTGGAAGAGGATGGCTTTAAACATGATGATCGAGGAGCCACCAACCAGCTACTCTTTGCTAGTGAAGAAAGACGGGAAATCATGGAAGTTATCAAGGTAGACAGTATTTTATTTCTGAGTACCTTTTTGTGTGATTGTAAGCCAAATATATATTTTTGACTCATTGAAAACAAAGATTAGTAAATAGAGCCCAGGACACAAATGTTGGGTTGTATATGAAATTTCGTGGTTTATAGTCATGAAAAAGAAATAGAATAGAATATAGAATAGAATATTCTTTATCTGCCAAGTGTGATTGGACACACAAGGAATTTGTCTCTCCGCTGCATAAGCTCTCAATATACATACAAGCAACAAAGATACAGTCATAAATCATAGGAAACAACCAACAAAGTGATAGTCATAAGATAATAATAGGAGTAGACAATAGGGACGATGAAAAGGATAATAGTAATACAGCCCTACTACATGCTTAGATATCCTTAGATATAACTCAATGCTGTGGGAATTAGGTGTTTAGCAGAGTGATAGCATGGGGGGAGGGAACTGTCTGTGTCTAGTTGTTTTGGCATGCAATTCCCTGCAGCAGCATCCTGAGGCGAGAAGTTGAAATAATTTAGGTCTAGGATATGCAGGGCCTGTAAATATATTAATTCATCCATCCACCCATCCGTCCGTCCATTCATCTACTGCCTTAAAGAACATTTCTGAACAACTATCATTGAAGGTGGTTATGCTGAGATTGTGTAGCAAACATTTCAGAACATTCTAGGATTTTTAATTTTTCATTAAATTGTTTTAATTTGTAAAGTAGCCAGGTTGACGTATCAAACATATTAACAAACAAAATAATGTATAAATAAATTAAAAATTCTAAAATGTTCTGAAATGTTTGCTACACAATCTCAGCCAGTTTGGTCTGATGGTTAAGCCACCAGGCTAGAAAGCAGGAGACTTTGAGTTCAAGTCCCAAGTTAGCCATGAAATCCAGCTGGGTGAGTTTGGACCAGTCTCTTGTCTCTCAGCCCAACCCCACCTCACAGAAATGTTAGTTGTGGGGAAAATAGAAGGAAGAAGTATGTTGGATATGTTGGCTGCCTCAAGTTATTTCTAAAAATAATAAAGGCGGGATACAAATAAATACAATTTTTTTCTCCTTTAGTTGTGTATTAATTTTGCAGGAGATTATATTATACTATTTTAACTATTTAAAGATTACGTTAGAAAAATAATGTTCCTTCTTCTAGGGCCATATATATGGCAATTCTGTATTTTTACATTTTGAGATGATATTCTGGATATACTTAACAGCCCATGGATTAGGATTTGTTGCTGATTTTTATTAAATGCTAATTCTTGTAGGGCACTGTCATTTTATGTTTTGAAAATGAATTATGTGTCTGGGGAAACCAATCAAACCTTAGAAAAGTACTTAAATCCCAAATGCTCCTCTTGTAATTCTCTTTAGTTCTGTGCCCTTCATTGTACATGCTCAGTCTTGGTAGCCATTTCATTCATTAGCCATGGTCTGGATTTATATTAATTAAAAATATTAAAATTGCACTCTTTTTTTTTCAGATTAAGTTTCAGTTCAGTTTAATTTGCTGGTAGATTCCTGGCTTATAATGGTTTGAGGAATTTTGTTAGGGGTTTTATTCATACATTTATGAATATGATAACTATTCAGTCATTTGCTTGGTGTTTCCATTTGTATAAGGATGGGGCTGCTTATTCATTCACGGGACACTAATTGAAAAAAAGAATAGATTCTTCTAAAAAGTCAGTACCTACTTTCTTTCTTCAACTGGACTCTTCTAGCAAGTGTCCTGCATTGTTCTCCCTTGAACTCCTATTGCCCATTGATGGTTACTTTTTATTAGAGTTGGTTGTTTGCTTGAAGACGTTTCATTACCCAACTAAGCAACATCATCACTGTGAGTGTACGGTTTTGCTGCCTATTTATATGCAGTAGCTTACAAGAATTTCTGTTTTGAACTTCAAGTATCCATATTTGTTAAGTATATATGACCTGCTTATTTGAAGAAAGACTCATTTTGGACAGAAAGTCTACAGCTTCCTCCAAAATTAACATTTGATCCTGAGGCTTGACCATCCATAAGTACTTGACATTTCAAGAAGGTCATGGATGTGCTCAGTCATTTAGCAATGTTGATCGATTTAGAGCATTCTGACTTTCTTTTCCAGACAGAACACCACTAATGGTTTGCTTCAAAGGATTGTCAGTTTTACTTTTTAGAGACAAATTGCATGACATTTTTTTAACAGTTGATGTGATCAAATATATGTAGGTAAATATTTGTCTATGAGGAGCAGGTGACTGTTAGCTTTGCACGGATTGGTTTTACTGTAAAGGATGCCATACAGGGGAGATAGGTAGAAAGATAGAGGTAGAAAGATGTTTTCCATTTGATATTTAAAAGATGAAAAAAAGCTTGTGTGTATCTTTAAAATAATAAGCCACATTGGGCTGTATTCAACCGGTGCCCTTGAATACAATTCTTTATCCCCTGAAGGGAAAGCTTTTATCTATTTATTTGTTATCACCCTGTCACCTCTCCAACTTACTTAGTTTTCCCAGTGTTTAAATAATTGGATATTGTTGCATGGAGAATAGAAGGATCACCATTTAGGCACATCCTGATATTTATTTTCATCTCTATGCTACCGTCAGAAGCTGCCGTAAGATCAAAAAGCCTTTGTCAGCAGAAGGATGTCAGCTGTTTATAATCCAGTATATATTCAGTTTAACCTACATAGGCCTACAATTAATTGTTGCAATGGGCAGAGTTTTTCTTGGTTTAACTCTCGCAGAACAAAGTTTGTAGATATAAGCATACACAAATGTTAGGCTTACAGGGAACAGTCTTTTATGAAGGTTTGTCAAGTGGCATCCTGAACCTATAATAGAAGTAAGAAGAGCTTCAGAGAGCAAGGACAATAGAAGGTCAGACAGAATAGAATAGGAGCCCTGTTCTCCCTCTTCTTCTTGTCCATCTCTGGATAAGGCTTTGATTTCAGAGACCCTTTGGAGTTAGATGCACAGTTGTTGAATGGTCAGGATAAAGTAAACATGATAGGACTTAAAAACTCCATTAACTATTTTCAGCAAAGTGATATGCAGTTTGCACGGAGGGGGATTGTGTGAGCCTTTGTCATAATTTCTTCGTGGCAGGAGGGAGGGGGCAACATGTTCTTTATGCTAAAGATGGAATCAAATTTTCAGCTTTGGTGTTAAAATCTACAGTTGCAAATTAACTTCCAAGTTAATGCAGCTGTCAAATTAGCATTTATGATTCAGGTACCTGAAGTGTGATGTCTTTTAGCTGTTGGTCTGTGAAACTGATCCTTCAGTTGACAAAGATAAACGCACAAATAAGATGATGTAAGATCTTATGATACAAAAATTATTGAATGAAAAGTAGGAAATTGGGATCCAGAGGACTTTGGCTGCAATCCATTAGGGCAGCGGTTCTCAACCTATGGGTCGCGACCCCATTTGGGGTCGATCGACCATTTCATGGGGGTCACCAAGCAAGGCTGTCCGCCATTTTTTTCCCCTTTTCCGGCGGGTGCCTTACCTCCCTTGGGCTGGGCCAGCTGGTGGTCGGCCTGATCCGTCTCTGCCGCTTGCCAGCTACGCCTCGGCCGGCGCAGGGGGCGGAACCACGCATGCGCGGTGCTCCCGGGCAGGGAAAGTCCTCGACTTAACGACCGGTTGGGGGTCGCGGCATTAAAAAGGTTGAGAACCACTGCATTAGGGCAAAGCAGTGTTTTTCAACCTTGGTGACTTTAAGATGTGTAGGATTCAGTTCCCAGAACGCCCAGACAGCATCCTAAAGTAGCCAAGGTTGAAAAATACTGGGATAGAGCAAAGATAGGGATTCTTTTATGTGATTCTGTCAGCCATAATCCAGTATGGTTAACATGGAATAGCACAAAACATTCGTTTACTTGCAGAGAAAAAGGAACAGATTAACTGTGTCATTTATCCCCAATGCCTTAAATATTATCATTCAATGCTCTGGGTAAGCATACATATAGAAAAATGAACTGTAAATGGTGAGTCTAAAAGGCTCTGAACTCCAGCAGTCTTATTTGTAACATCCCTGTGCAAAACTAATTTGAGTGTTCATATGGAAATGCCAGGCTACAGCCTAATTCAAGTTTGATTAGAAATGCATAGAATAAAATGTGACTGCATTGGCTGATTCTGCCTTAGCTTCGCTTTTTTACCATTTGGCCTTCCATGTAGTAATATAGATAGACACCCTGCATGATTAAGAACCCTGATGGGGTTGAATTCTAAATTGCATTGAAAACCTTCAGATTTATGGAGAATAATGGGCCGGGCAACCCAGGTATAGCATAGTCAATGAAGCCCAAAGCCACATCCCTATTCTGTACTCATGCAATTCTAACCCTGAGGAAATTTAATGTCTGAATACATCTTAGGCTGTCTGAATTTTGTTGTTGTTGTTGTTCATTGTTTCCTTTCTTCCAGCACAAAGGTATAATTCATGCATTATATATAGTAATCTTTTGACTGCAGATTTTTTTTGCCACAATAAAGCTATAAACCCCTGTCTTTTTTTAAAAAAAATATTTCAGTCATTAAAATATCTTGGAAAGGTGAAAAATTGCTTTCAAAAGAATCAGTTTGACATTTCAGTTTCTGTCATTGCCAATTAGTGAGAAAAAAGATGTAAGGAAGCATTGGATTTCAATATAGAGTGCCTAGATGTTTTAAAAAAGCAAAAAAAAAAAAACCAAAAGCAGTGTGAATTTGGAAAAGCAAACCATTAGACTAAACTAATAGTATAACATTACATAGGATTTTACTGTAATATAAATTTATGCGAGTGCTTTGCTGTCTTTAACTGTTAATATATTTTACAATCTCTTTGGGGGAGTTTATATTTTTTTCTTCCTTGTTGTCCACAAATGCTGATTTGTTTTATCATCCTCCTTGTATGAGGAATTTCATAAATGTTTACGATATAATTTAATCACTTCTTTAAAAAGTATACTGGTATCACTGCATTATGATTTTTGCCTTGAAATCTTACCACCAGCTACTTTTTGCCCTTCAAAAAAATCGCATTGTATGCTCCTGGTTTTAAAAAATACATTTTGGAAGGGCACTTTTTCAGAATAATAGCCTGGGATAAATATTTATTAGTTTCTACAGAGCAACCCTGCTTGAAATAAATTTAGCCTGACTGATACCACATGCAAAACGCATAAATGAGCAAGAAACCTCAGAGCTCATATGTGCTCTGTTCTTTGGCTTCAGCTTCATTTGCAGTCCTGTGCTCAGTCACCTGGAAGTAAGGTGCACTGAGCTTAGTAGAACTTAAAACTGAATAGACATGCACAGGCCTGTATCATCAAGCCTAATTCAGCTTGTGTTATATGATGCCATTCTTTGTAATATTTTCCTGTATAAAACAAAAGTGAAAGAAGAGAGTTGTTCTCAGAGCAGGGTTCTACCATCCTGCTCCTTCAGAAAGTCCTCAACTTAGAACGGGTGTCAAACTGCCAGCCCGCGGGCTGGTTTCATCATACCAAATCCGCACCCACCCCATTGCCGGCAATGCAAAAAGAGTCACGATACGTCACGTGATGTGGCAAGTTTGACACCTGTGACTTAGAACACAGAATAACTGTGAAATTGCAAGTCATGGTCACGTGATGTTTTGCTTAACAACTGCAGGTGATTTGCTTAATGACTGCAGTGGAAGTGAGGGTGTAAGTCTATCACAGGGGTCTGCAAACTTGGCCGCTTTAAGACTTGTGGACTTCAACTCCCAGAATTGAAGTCCACAAGTCTTAAAGCAGCCAAGTTTGAAGACCTCTGGTCTATCACAATCACATGATGTTTTGCTTAATGTCTTAGCAATGAAGTTGCCAATCCCAATTGTGGTCTTTAAGCAAGGACTATCTGTAGAGGATTTCATGGAGAAAACCAGCATTTTAAATTATTCTTGGAAATGTACTGATAACTCATGCAAGGCCAAAACACAAATATAATGTGTTCTACTGCTAGTCTCAAGCAGTCTTCATTTTGAATCAGGCACAATTTCTGAGTAATCTTTAAGGTAGTCCTATGTGTATTGACTGTGTCTTTCATGTAGTTATCCAACATTAATCTTGAGTACAGAATGAATCCTGTAGACTTTCTCAGAGACAGTGCTGTCCTTTCCAGAGATAAGACCAAGAGTGCTTGGGCCTAACTTCAGCTTGTTTACTCCTATCCAGACCCTAACAGTCTCCAGGTGCTGAGAAAAGACTTCACACTTCCAGAATAACCCAGGGTGGTAATTCACAATTGGATATCAGCAGCATCTTGATATTGATGGACAAATGGATAATGTCAGTTATAGAGTAGAGTAGAGTAGAGTAGAGTAGAATACTTTATTGGCCAAGCGTGATTGGACACACAAGGAATTTGTTTTCATTGCATAAGCTCACAGTGTACATACAAACAGCAAGTAATAAATAGGTCATAGATCATGTTGAATAAAAGAAAATGCTATAGGACCTTAGCAGTTCTAGTAATGAATTACCTGAAAAAGATCAGTCCAGTCTAAATCTGACATTCTTCTCAAGTTATGATAGGAAAACTTTGGGGAACAATTAATGAAATCAGATAGCTTTCCCTGGTTGTCTTCAAACATTCTTCGAAAATGGTTCTTGAACCTTTGAAGTACAATATATAAGGGATGTGTCACTAGAAACAATGAACATCTTTTTTCTAGCTCACCTACGTATAACTTGCTCACTTGGATTGAAGTGTTGAAAAGGTTGATTCCTGAATGATAATTTTTCTTGATTCCTGAATGATAATTAAAAAGATGGAATGTGCCTTCCAAAGCTGCTTTTATTTTTTCCACATGCAGAATTTCATTTCTTCCTTGGTATTAGCTGTGCTATTATCTCTGTAGCAATCTTTTAACTGGGGTTGCTAACTTGAGCTTCGGTTGAACTAAGACTCACCTTAGACACAAACTGAATAGAAACTTTTCTGGTTCAATATTTGATTCTTTGAAGGGCACTAAGGCTCCCTCTGTTCATTGCCTTCTGTGGAGGACCAGCAAAAGTAGGCAGTATGAACCGTGTGTACCATTTCTGAATCAATATTTAATTTGCACTTCCCTGTCAATGATGCAGACATATATTGAAGTGAATTAAATTGGCTGGAAGTCAAGGTTGCCTTTTACTGTAACCTATGCTGTCTGAAGCTGACATTTTACCAGCTTTTTAGTATTTATGCTATATTTCAAACCAGGTCACCTTAGACCAGCTTTCTCAACCTGTGGCATCTAGATGGTTGGATCTGAATTCCCATCAAATCTCAGCCAGCTTGTTGGCAGAGATGATCAAGAGTGATGTAAGTTGAAGCCCAGGACATTTGGAAGGTGCAAACCTGGGAAAAGCAGCACAATTAGTTGCATGAGCATGGCAAATTATGTTTTCACACATCAAATTTCTGTACAAGACTATCCTTTCTCCTCCTTCCCCTTCCTTATTCTTTTTCAATGGCTTAGAACAGGTCACCTTGATTCTGAGAACATTATGCACTTGTGCTGGCACTTTCACGATTTATTACTGATGAGTAGGCTCTTGTTTTTGTTTCCTTGAAAAAAGGAAGCTTACTTTCCAGCACCAAATATTCATGAGCAAATCTCTTCCCTCTCCACACCCCATTTATAATCTGAAAAGAAATCTGGAAGCCACTGAGATATTCTTGCCATCTGAATAATTTAAAATGTGTCAGTTTCTTTTGCCGAAAGGACTTACTATTTAAATTAAAGAGCCAGATTTAGGGGAGCTGGTTTTTTTTTTTTAATACAAATTACATTCTGGATGCGTTTCCCTCTTACTTATATGATATTTCTGGAATTCCAATCTATGGCTTTTCTTTTAATATGTATATATACTTGTGCTTAAGCCGGCTGTTTTATATTATGCTGCTTGCTTTTTGCTGCAACTCTTAGGATTTATTTTGCCTTCTCTTGGTTCACATTTTAGAGAACCAAGGCCAAGTTGTAGAGGTGATCTTTCATTCTGTAAAAACAGGTTCAACACAGTATGATCTTGTCAGTGGCCTGGTCTTTGCCTTTGGATCAGGGGTCTTCAAACTTGGCCCTTTTATGACTTGTGGATTTCAACTCCCAGAATTCCTCAGCCAGCGTGCTTTGGATAGTCAGTTGATGACAGAGTAGCAATGATGGTGGATACCATGATACCCTATGTACTTAGCTGCAGGATCTTCCACACTGTTCTTCACCTGTCGTATTCCCTAACTGCATGGGCCCTGGATTTTAACTAACCTTTACATACCAGCTGTATGCAAAAGTATTGTGAATTCAGAGTATCTTGAGTTACGAATGATCTGATCCAATCTTGGAAGTGACCCAACAGTGTACTGGTTCTAAGCTCAGACTGGTCCTGAACTTGAAACATGGTTGATCTGATACCAAAATACTTCAGATATTTTGAACACCTTTTAACTATTTCATACAAATTAGGTCTTATAAATTTGTACAGAAATTTCCTACAGACTATTTCTTGTGGGTCTACATACAATTTTTAGTTCAGTGTCATCAAAGTCTGGCTCAGTTGGTGATAACTACATGGATAAGTGATTGTCATAGTGAACTATCTCCAGCAGTTAGATTTTTAAGGACAGTTTTGTGATCTAGTTTGTTTGTTTCACTCATTTCCAATTGTGAATCACTCCAATTCTTACAGTAGGTTCTTCCTAATCAAGTGTTATAATCAATCATTATAAGCAAATATTCTGCTATCAAGAACTGATTGTTCTCTATATAATGCAAAGGCAGATACCTAGAGGTAATGTGAAAGGTGTGTCTAACTTACATACTTGCATCCAGTGTCAGAAAGTCGGTACAAAATGGCAGGTTTATGTTGTGATTTCATGCCGCTCATTTATCATTTTTGTGATTTGCCTGTACTTTAATATTTTAAGATGTATTAAATATTCTGATATGGTTCAAAGAAAGGCTTTGGTGTAGGTAATGAAAAGAAGGTAAAGGTCTTTCTCATATTTGTTCGTTACACATTTTCATATAATGTAACTTTTCATATTCTTTTTCATTTCATTTCCATTCTTTGATACAGGTATGTGTATTAATCTTTTCTAATCCAGGCTACACATTTTTGTTTCATATTTGTTGGGAATAGAGCTGTTTCCTCTGCTGCAACTTCAAGTAGCTCATTTGCACAAGTTGCTTTCCCAGTTAATTCTATATCAGAACTGTTTCTATATATATTATTCTCTGCAATGTTTTTGTTCTATATTTCCATTGTTAAAAGATCTTCCTACAGTCTTTCAATCTTTCTTTAGCTTTATTTGGCCCCATTAAGTCTCTTCTGTGGTTAACCTTCATTACTTTCATCTAAAAATTGTCTTATTTTCCCTTTCTTATTTTATTTGTTAGCTTCCTTCATTGGTTTCCTTGTCTTTTCTTGTTTGTGTCCATACTCAATCGTCATATATCCCTTCTTGTTTCTCAAGGTTTTCATCATCCTTTTTTTTTTCTTTTCGACTATGATAAATTTGTTCTAAAAACAACTTGGATATTTTCCCCTTTGAAATTTTGACAATATTTTCTGCTTCACAGTGTCTCTTATCTCTTCAGTAGCTCTCTTTTTTTCACATAAATTAAGCATCCTGAATCTGTTCTCTACTTTGATTTTATATTCTGGAGAAGTATGTCCTGCAAGTCAAATCTTGCTGGTACATTTACTTTTTTTATTTTTTTTAAACCCACATTTCTCTCCCCACAGACTTATAGATGGCCTTAAACTTTATAGCATTTCATAAGCAAACCAAGTAATCTTACTCTAATCTGTATTTGGTTTCCCATGCTTCTATTTTGGCAAAAATTGTATTCCAGTTGCCTATTGCATTACAAGATCTTTTCTTGCATTGAACATGTCTTAAAATGTTCATAGAATTTTTCAGTCTTCTACAATTACATCTGCAGCAAGTCCATATTCTTTCTAACAGTGATATTCACTAATTCTAATAGATCTTGTCCTATTGGAATGTAAGGAACATGGTGGCTTGGGTGGTTAGGATGCTGGTTTGACAAGCAGCAAGCTGCGTTCGAGACCCAAGTTCTGCCTTGGGGCGGGGTGAGTTCTTGTCCTTTGCTCCAGCTCCTGATGGGGACATGAAAGGAGCCCCCAACTGGGCATCCCCTGGGCAATGGTGATGCCACCGGATAATCCTCTAAATCTGGAAACGCCTTGGTGCTTCTGACATGAGTGCAATACGACTGGATTGTAACCAAGCACATATTTAGCTATTATGGCTTTTCAGAGTTTATTCCCCAAGGTGCTTTGTAGTTCAGAAATGTTCAAACATTAGCAATTCTCTAAAACAATTGGGTCTTTTCCTGGGATTGCATGGCTGGCTGCCATAGCTGTTCTGAAATTCCAGGAACAGATGCATCTGTTTCAAAAGATTGCAGACACTTTGCAACTTATACTCTCTGAAATACCTGTCTGAAATCAACTCAGGATTACTTGCACAAATTACTAATGCCCTTTGGAACATCATTCTATTGGCAATGGTCTTATGCTTTACACAGTATATTATACAACCACCTGATTTAAAAGACTTCCACTTCTCTGACCTTCACTTATTTCTAAAACACCCAATGTACCCTGCTTTAACTATTACAAGTTATCCTTGCTTCGGTCTTTCTACATTCTCTGTTCTCTGTCCTTTTGAGATGTAAAACTCCTCTGGCATAATCACTACGGGTAGCTATTAAAGTTGGCAATATTATCTCCAAATCTACTTGTGAAAAATCCAGCATTCTTCTCTGATAATTAGAGAAGTCCTTTCAACTCTCATCACCTACTTGTTTAGATATTTCAGTCACGCCCATAGTCGGTACTTCTTTGTCTGCAACCATAGTTATGTGAGTTGCAGTTGCCTTCTTCCAGGTTTGATTTTGAAGTTTCTAGGTGGGTTGGTTTCTTTCATCCCTCCAA